CTGCATCAGCCACATGACTTTTTTGTTTATCATCATATGATGCTTCTTGTATACGTGTCTTTGTTGTTGTCAGTTTGTTGCTCATGGCATTATCTTTTCCATTAGTTTTAGCTTTTGGGCTCTCATTGTTGTTTTTCTTTGCAGTGTTACTTTCTTGTTCTGTTGCCAAGATTGCACTTCTATTTAGTTCTTGCTCTACTTGTTCATTCCAGTTTGCATTGTTGTTTGAAAGAAAACTTGTTTCATATTTTATATTTTGTTTATTTAGAAGGAAGTTTGTTTCAAGTAAAACTCTTTTGTGTTTTCGAAGATTAAGTTGTATAAGTCTACGTTTCTTAGAAACAAGAGCCTTTGCCCTAGTTCTAATAAAAAATAAAGGGTCTTTGTTTTCTTTGTTAGTTGTTATTTTGTTGATAATAAAAATCCTGTTCAAATCAGTGATGAACAAGAAAGAGTTTTTAATACAAAGTTAAATATAACTTAGTAACTATAATATATCTTTACTGGTTTACTAAAGTTATTAATAAGATGTAATAAATACAGAATCAAAGTGTTTAAATAGAGAACCTACAGGTAAGTTCTAAGTATAGTAACTAATGTAAAACCTTTATATGAACTATTTAAATTAAATAATAATTAAAGTTATATAAGTGACTAGTTGTCTCTATACTGTTACATCACAAATGCTAGCCAACTAATACTATCAATAAAATTTTAAGTTGCATGTACTCATCTTAACATTTAAAAAAATAAATAAATAACTTTTAAGTATAAACTGTATTAATATTTTTCTTTTAAAGTAATTTCCATAAACAATATTTATCTTCTTTTTAGTAAATAAAGTAAAGTTATTAATATTGCATTACCTTTTCTAAACTGTCTTAGAAAAAGGTATAGTTTTTTAATGATGTTTAACAAAAACTATATTTTTCTTTTAAATATTACATATACCTGTAAAAAATTTTCTATGCTATATCATTATTATAGTGTAAAAGTTAAGAAGGCTTTCACCTATAACACTAATAAACCAGCTAACAATGTAACCAAAATTTTTAGAAAAAAATCTTAATAAAAAATTTTAATAAAAATGTACAAATAAAAAAAAATTATAATATATATTTTTACTATATATTATACTTTAATTAAATTGTAAATCTACAATATATAATATATATAAATCAAATATAATATTAAATTTGTTTTTTTAAAAAAAAATCAATAATATTAAATGATTTTAACACTTACTAGAAGTAAAATTTACTAGATATGTTGTTTCTTAAAAATGAATTTGATAATCAGTATTTGTATACTAAGTAAAAATGCTTAGCACTCTAAAAAATTCCAATTTTTATTTTAATTTAAACTTTAAACCTTAAAATTCAAATTTAACTTTAAAATTTATAATAATTATTTTATAAATTATATAATAGTAATAATAAATCTATCAGTTGTACACTCATCTATATAGTTTAATATGAACATGTGCCTAATATAAGTATTAATAAAAAGTCAAAAAACCAAAGAGATCATCTTAACATCAAAAATAATAATAATAATAATAATGATAATAAATCTATATATAGCCATGACTATTCTAATTCTAAATACAAAAAAAAAACCATACTAATACTTGACCTAAACCTAACTAAAAAAAAAATTACTTCATTATATTACGGCTATACAAAGCCAAAGACTACATACTTTTTAAAAAAATATCAAAAAAAATAATTTATTTTATAAAAGTTTATTTGCTAATATGCTTCATTTATTAATTAATAAAAAGTTCTTTTTTTTTATGCACCGCCAATTATTTCAAGCATATTATAACAACAATTTATAATAAATTTAATGCTAGTAACAGTCCTTATTCCCATCTATTATAATTTTACCCATTATTTTTTGGCCTTATTTATTTTTTTGGCCCCATTTATTTTTTGGCCCCATTATTTTTTGGCAACAGTTTTTACTAAAAATATTATTACCTTCTACCAGCACGACCCAATTGAGATTGAGCTTGTTGCAATATAGCATTCACAGTATCACTCTCACTCTGCAATGTAGATTGCGTTCTTGCTTCCTCAATTATTCTATTATGTGTTGCATTATTATATGGAAAAGACAATCCGTTGCCTGGCGGAGTACCAAATGGCACTATTTATAAAAAAAGAATTAGAATAATAAAAAATTTATTATAGCACAACTAATAAAAAATATAATAAAAAATTTATTATAGCACAAATAATAAAAAATTTATTATAGCACAAATAATAAAAATCTATTATAGCACAAATAATAAAAAATTTATTATAGCACAAATAATAAAAAATTTATTATAGCACAAATAATAAAAAATTTATTATAGCATAAATAATAAAAAATTTATTATAGCATAAATAATAAAAAATTTATTATAGCATAAATAATAAACAAGCATACCAAACCATAACCACCAATTTTCACCCATGATCATTTTCCAATTTTGTTTCCAACCTAAATTCCATAAATTTTCACCAGGTCTAGTAGTAGCAATGCCATAACTTGTTGGATTTTCAGGATCAAATTGAACTCTCATATTATAGGTTCTAGTTCTAAACGAAAGAGATTCAATTGTCGTACGGTTTTGTAACACATAAGCCGTATGAACTAGGGTGAAACCTGTTAGTAGAAGACCGAATATTAACGCACTTTTATTAAAAGTAGTTTAAAGTAAAATGAAAGAATAGTAAAGATTTAATAAGTGATAAATGGAATGAAAGGTTACAAATTAGGAATGAATTATATGCTCACAGTATAGCGGTAATTATCAGTTGTACATCAAGTTCTTTCTATCGGCAAAGAGAAATGAATTAGGAAACATTCAATAGGAGAAGAAAATAATACTAATAATAATAATTGATGAAAAGTAAAAGAAAAACCTTTGCCGGATTTTCCAATTGCTTAACTACAATAGGTATTATTGCAGCAAAAGAGAAATCAGCATAGAGAGAAGTATATGCAATGAATAGGTAAAAGAATTTGTAATTTTTGAAACCTATACACCCATTCACCCTAATTTAAACAATAGTGAAATTGAGAGAATTAAGAGAATTGAGATAAAGAAATTAAAAAGATAAATAAACCAGAAACGTTAAAAAAACGAATCGAAATATAATTTACTTACCACGGACAATGACTAGGTTATTATAAATACAAAAGATCAAGAAAATTAATAATAATCATAATAATCAAAATAAAATAATAATCAAAATAAAATAATGATCAAATAAAATAATAATGATCAAAATGAAATAATAATGATCAAATGAAATAATAATAATCGAACGAAATAATAATAATCGAGTAAAATAATAATAATCGAATAAAATAATAATCGAATAAAATAATAATAATCGAATAAAATAATAATAATAATTAAAGTAATAATAATAATTAAAGTAATAATAATCAAAGTAATAATAATAATAATAATAATAATCCAAACAATGATAATAATAATAATGATAATGATAATAATGATAATGATAATGATAATAATGATAATGATAATGATAATAATGATAATGATAATAAAAGAATATATACATACTGATCCATTTTAAGTATGCACCGATTACATTCAGAACAATGATGACATCGATCTGGTTTCACATAATTACAATTTTCACACCATCTTACTCTTCCATCTCTTTTACATACAAAAGTACTTGGCATTGGAATAACTACATTAGAAGGAATATCTGAATGTATTGAAGAAGAAGCCATGACATTTGTTGTTGTAGCAGCAGTAGTTGGTTGACCTTTGACAAAAGTATTTTCTATTGGTAATAAAGCATCAGCATTTGAAGTGTTATTAGGATTAGAAACAGGATTTGGACGATGTACGGTAAATGGCGTGGGAATTGAATATTTATTAGATATCGTTGAAGTAGGTCGAGATAATTTTAATGAAGGTATTGAAGGTATTGGAGTTGTTTCAGTATTTTCGTTATTTAATTGTTGTGATAAAATGGTATCTGGGTTAGGACCTATTGGCTAATCGATTAGCGTAACATAGAGTAAATGGCAGTAAATACCATAGAGAATGTCTTTTGATTATTTAACGAAAGATTTAAGATAATTGAAAGATTTAAGAGATCTAAAAGATGTGAAAGATGTGAACATAAACTTACGGGAGATCCGGGTTTTCGAGATAATATTCGAATGTACGATAGAATTGTCATTACAAATAATATGCCAAAGATCACCAGATAGATAACTTTTAACTCAACAAAATTAGAGAATGAAATATAACGAATATGACGCGTATTAAATTAAATATGAAATAGATAAAGAGACTTACTAGCTTGTGTGATCGATCGATATTCTCTAATTAGTATGTTAACTAAAAGAAGAAAAAAGAAGGAATGAGAGTTAATGTTTTTCACACAAAAATTTTTAATTAAAAAAAAATAAATAAATAAAAAAATGATGAAAATGAATAAATTTTGAAATTACACGGGTCGATAAAAACTTTCTTTCGAGTAAAGACCTATTTCATACGAATAAATCAAAACGAAATATCGACCATACTCTTGTTACTAAAGCTAAACGCGTAACCCCCTTTATCTTTTTAATGATATGACATTCTGGTTCATATGATCTTAATCTCTACGTACCACATATTAGATATACGAACACGTAACACGTATATCCCATTAGTGATAATACAATCACCGGCATAAATCTTCCAATAAATATAGTCAGAGAAGGCATTACTGTATATATCCATAAACCGTCGTTATATTAAGAGAATTGTTATATATGTACAAGTAGTATAAAGATAAAATAAGATAGTAAATTAATTATAATGGAGTGTAAGAGAAAAGGGATAAAAAAAAGAATATAAAAACGGAAGGTTTGCAATAATAGTTGAAGCGAAGAAAAGAGAAGAAGGGGAGAATTAAATATTTAACGTGACTTTTATCTAATATAATAAATAATTTGTGATTTGAAAATAAAAAAAGGTTGCATTAATATCAACAATTAACTATGACCAATTGATGACATTACTAATAATGAAATAATGAAGATGATGTAAATATTCTAATTATAAAAAGTCCAAGGTACTATCAGTACGTACTATTGTCAAAGGGACAGGTAAATAGAGAATACCTAGTAAAAGGGGACAAGATGCAAAGTTTTTATACAAAAATAGTAATACAGTATATACATAATATATATATAAGTATGATGAATTCAGTACGTATATATGTGATCGAAGTACGAACTTTAAAAAAATAATTGCATATCTCTAATGCCCGTTTTATATGAAGCGTAGCATATAACCTGCAGATTAGCATATATATACAAGGCATTACGGAATGTGAATGCATTTATTAAAATTGGAATAAAGAGATGGACATTAAATAAACTTCCTTTTTTTTTCTTAACACAGTTCGAATAGGAATTTACCAGATAATTTCTTGTTATTAGAACACATTAATATTACTGTATTAATGGTGAACACAAATCTTTCTAGAGCTCAAAATCTTTAAAAGGTAACAATTTACTGGCGTAAAATCACAAAATCAATGTATTACGCCAATAAAAAACTTTGAGGTAACATAAACTAGTCAATTTGATTAACATACAGACATAGAGGCATAGGGAAATGTCAAACCAATCAAGATCGCATTGATGTGGATCACATATAAAACTAATTAATAGTTTTACCAATAACATATTTATAATTGTTTTCGTTATTTAATTTATGAATAATAATAATTATAATTATAAATAATAATAATTATTATTATTAAATGAATTAGAATAATTAGAATAAAAATATTACTGACATTATATTAACTATTACACTTGATAATATGTAATTTAGATAATTACATTCTCATTCTCATTCATTAATATATGTTGATATATATATAGCAAAATGCTACGTAGCAAGATTCGTAGCAAGATTAGAGATAATTAAAATTTGTTTATAGTAATGGTAATTACGCACACACCAGTTCTTAATTCTACAAACAGGTTATCAAAGTTACGAAACATCTGAAAATATTATCAATAAAAAAAACCTGTTGTAGTGCATGATTTCTAATCGTATGATCTCTATCGTATAAACGCTGGAACCTAATTTTTGACGTAAAACCTAATTTGACATTGATTCCTTACTTATAATCATCATGTTTTTTTTATTAGCCTTAATTTTTTTCAAAAGGTATGACTAAATTTGTATTTAATATACGTAATATATATGTATAATATATATGTATAATATATATGTATAATATATATTATAATATATATCATAATATATATCATAAAATATATATCATAATATATATGTATAATATATATTATAATATATATTATAACATATATCATAATATATATTATAATATATATTCATTATAAGATTTCTATAATAATCTTCATGCCCTTTATATGTACGAACACGGAGAAACATTAATTTTTATCCTCCTTTATTATAATATTATAACGATAAATGTAACCTTCATTTTAAATATACGTACTGTACGCATAAATGTTATGTAACTATATACGTATATAGATAAAATTGGAAAGGCATAATACATCCGAATTTACTAATATTCTTTATAACTCTAAAAATATACTTTTCATTTTTTACTATTGGATCCATATCCTCTAAAGATTTTATCCAAAATATCTTTTTCAACAAACCTCCAAGCTTTTAAAAATTCCAAATCTTGCCATCCCCAAATTATTAATTCTTGAATTTTTTTTGGATCTTGTTCATTACGATGAATTTCGAATAACTCTCGCGCGTTGTAACAAAGCTTTGGAGATAAATATCGAAATGGTAACGTGGGCGAGCGAAGATAACGAAGCGTATGACGGTATAAATGCAGAGGATTGGTAGATGGAAGTGATGACTGAAAAGGTCGGTTCATGTTTTTTCTCTAATGGCTTTTTGTTAAAATTTATCAACATCAATATCAATATCAATATCGATATACCATAATTCCGAATCCACGTACATGATCTAGCCAATCAGATTCGAAATTACCGATTATGTATTGCGTTATGTATTGCGTTATATATAATATATAACGCAATATATAATATATTGCGTTTATATATTGCGTTATGTATTGCGTTATGTGTTGCGTTATGTGTTGCGCTGTGTATTGCGTTAATTGCGTAGATCTATTCATTGAAAACCCCAATGTGTCTTAACATTAATCCATTCATTATTTCAGTGTAGCTTGAAACATTAACGATTATCAAACTTATTCTAAAATCAAAACTGTCGTTTCAAATTCGAGTCTAGGGTGCACTCTAGGTCCTATGATTTACATAGTGCGTACGTACAATGACTATAAATCTTTAAAGTCATGCAATGTCGACAACCCTTGCAGATTTGTACAGCATTTGTGTAATTTAATCGTAGGGTGATTAAAAATCGACCCTTTGAGTCGACTCAGCAATGGACACATCCATTATTACTCAGAATAATACTTTTAATATTTAACACAGATGTGTTGTTTCAAGACTGATAGAATTAGGTGGAAGTGGCTAAGAACTAGTCCGATCTTATTAACCCTTTGTTTCAAATCTGAACCATACTGAACTATACTGACCTTTTGATGGATTCGACTGGATCCCGTTCATTCATTTTCATAATCATTTTAACGTTATGCATGAGCAAAACTTCCAATCGATTTCTGATCGACTAAATTTGGCTTTTGAAGCTAAATCGAACCAGACAGGACTTTTAACATCCTAATTTAATCATGTAAAATTTTTATGGAAATGTTAAAGTTTTAGACTTATTATTGAATAACGGGTTGAATACATTTTAGAAATTGTTATATATCATGTCATTTAATGACCAAACTAACACATAGTGCTGTAAAAAACATATTATAGTTATTGTAGCTATTGGTAAAGGCAAGATCGTTTTATTCTAATCACTATATCACAAATGTTTATACTTAAAGGAAACTTAGAGGTGGTTATTATACTGTTATAGCAAGGATGTCATGTCATTCAATTCATCTTGTTGGGACGAATCGGATACATGTATATGTCTCTTTTGTATATATGTATCAAATTTCTGCTCTAAGTAATAAATTTTGCGTAACACCTGATCCTGTGCCATGATTGGTTTAAAATCACGTGTCCGTGTACATGAACAATAAAAATGTCAAAACAAGAATTAGAAGGATTTAAAAACTTCGAAAAACACTTAGATCCCAATAATTTAAGCCTAATTTCCACACTCCAATTTCGACGTTATAAAAATGATTTTACATACAGTAAACACCAATAACATACGTCTTCAGAAATACCTAAATTGTCTAAGGCTGCACGTTCTCTTAAAAAGGATGAAATATTGGTTAGTGTTTATTTCTTGTTTAAAGTACGGTGATAAGGAAGAAGTTGGACCTTCATTATCAAAACAACTACTAAGCTACCCAGTTTCCAATAATAAAGCACATAACACAAAAATAGGATTGAATAATAATAAAAATGTTAGTGCAGGTCATTAATACGTATTAGCTAGGTATTTATATTAAAAAACCCTGATTAGTATCAATATAATTTTAGTTTGCACTAATTTTAAATTTTAGAAAAGGTTATTATAATCTGAATTAAAATAGAATCTTTTTGATTTTAAAACTTATTTAATATTTTGTTTTATATTATAGATTAGCTTATTAGAATATTTTAGATTTGATTAAAGAAATAAAAGAACTAAGTAATAAATTAATTAAAAATGCATTTTAATATTTAATAAAAAAAATAATTAGAACTTAAAATATGCATTATTAGCATTTTAATATTATTTTAATAATAATTGTAAAGAAAAAATAGATGATTATAGATATAAAATGCTTTATAAACTATTTAGTTTATATTTATTTAATATTTTTTAATAAGATATTTATCAATTTTATTTATTTATTATATAGTAAATTTAATATATATTATTTTAAAAGAAATTTAAATAAAAAAGAATTAAAAATAACAATTATGTTTTTTCTATTTTAAAGAATATTTTTTTAAAATTAGTAAATAATAAATGATAAATAACTTTAATTTTTTATTTTAAAAAAAAATAATATAAAATTTTATTATTTTGTAAATATATGTTATAATATATTTATAAAATTAAATATAAGATTAATATTAAATAATAATTAAGACTATTTTATATTAAAACTAAACAAAAAAATTTTTATTAAATTACAATAAATGGTTTTATAAGTAAATTATTGTAGAGGTGTAGCAACTTAGTAAAGTAGATAAGTTGTTAATCTCTAAGTGGTAAGTTAAGTATTAAATCTTATTGTTAGTGAAAATTTGAATAATCGTCTATATAATACATATATTATAGCAATTGTTTCTAATAATTAAGTTAAGATATCTGTAATGATAATCATATTAGCATAACTGGCAGATCATAAAGCATCTGTATAACTAGTTATACAAAGAAATACAAACTAATATTAGGCAATACAAACTCTAGATAAATTCTTGTAGTTTTATAAATCTGTTAAAATTAAGAAACAAAAAGTTTATTTGAGAAGATTCAAGTAAAAAAATAATACAGATTTTTAATAATACTATTGTAAAGATTAGTCTAAAAAACAGATACTAATGACAAAGTACTCAGACAAGAAAGAAACTTTAGGTTGAAAGTTCTAAAAATACTATCAACCAAACTGCTAAAATAAACTAAAAAAAAGAATATTGAGCTAATTTAATATACTGATAAACTGGTTATAATTCTATACAAACTATTTGAATTAAAAGTTTAAAAAACAAACAGAAATATACTAAAATACTAAGAATATGCTGTGAAGTAGATGCTAGAGTTTAAGTAAACTTTATAAAAACATAATAGTTAAATAATATAACTTTAATTACAAGTATTAATTCTATTATAATAATATTTAAATTAGCTATAAAAATAAGTATAAGAGGCTCTAAAAGGTTTATCTTAAAAATAAAATAATTCTAAAATTAAGACAATAACTTAGACTTAGCTCAGTAATATTAATACAAATACAAGTCTAAAAGGTTTAAAATAGAACACTCAAACAAAACTATTAAATATAGCAATTGATAAAAAACTTTGAGCAAACTTTTTAAATCTATACTATATTATAAAAAAATTTGTGTATAACATTTAGTTGCAAGGTAATGCTTAAATTACTCTATATAAATAAATACAATTATATAACTAAAATATTCGTAATATATTAATACTAAATTAAATAAAAATTTTACTAGAATTATATCTAATTTAATAAAGTTTAATTAAATACTAATTGTATAGATTTTTATAATTATATTTAATACTAATTTTTTCTTTATTATATAGCAATAGGTTTGCAGCTAATCAATTAATAAAAAATATTAAAATATATTATGTCAAAATTTTATATACAATTTATAAATAATAACAATAATATATTAAACTCAAACTAGTTTAAAAACTTTAAATTAGAATTAAAATATTAATTATAAAAACAAATTAAACCTAATTTGAGTTAGCTTGAGCTGGCTTTAACAGCTTTTTTAAGCTGAACTAAGCTAAGCCAACCATTTTTAACTCTAAATATATGATAATAAATTTATTGTATTATTTAATAATAAAATTTAAAATCCAAATAACAGAGAAATAGATACTGAAATACTTTATGATAATTTTGGTTTTAGTAAATAATATTTATTATTAATAAAATTTATTTATAAACTCTTAATAGTTTTATTTCTGATTATTAGCAATTCTAATATTAATATTTAGAAAACTATAATTAAAATATTTCTTAATCAAAGGTATTAATTCTAGTTTTAAAGCTTCATTTTCTAAATAAAATTTCTATTTTTTATGTTTGTCAGGTTCAGTTTATAAAGCTTTTTTTTATTAAGAAATAGGTAAATATAAACTTCATATATTTGATTATAATAATCATCTCTAATTTTACATTTTACAAATCTGTATTTTTGTAATAAAAGTTTTGTTTTGAAACTACATATAATAAACCTTCTTGTAAATCTTTGATACTAATTAAAATACTAGTTTCTTCTTTTACTTCTTTTTGTAGACTAGTGATAACTTCTTTATTAGAATTAATCTTTCCACTTGGCCTATTATAGTATTTAGGTAGAACTTTAGATAATTATTTACCAAGAAGTATGCTTTCAAACTTATTATAGAATCCAATGATAGCAACATTGCATTTTTCAAGAAAAAATATAATTGAACTAATACTATTTACTAAGTTTAACTACTTTATTTATAATTTTATTGTAGTACAAAAATAAGTATAAATTAAGTCTAAGATCTTTTTTAAATTATAGCATTAAGATGAATTCAAATATAGTTTATAAAGAGTACCAATATCAAAATCTTATTAAGAATATTTTAAATAATAGTAAATATAGAAAAGATAAAACTAACATTGAAACTATATCAATCTTTTCTTTTCTTTAATTTAGATTTAATTTAAAATATGAAAAATTCTACTTTTGACAATTAAAAATATATTTTTTAGAGAGGTTGCAGAAGAACTTTTTTGGTTTATTAGTAGAAGTACAGATGTTAGTAAATTATATAAAAAAGATATTTATATTTGAAATAAAAATGCAAGAGATAGCAATGATCTGGGACTGATTTATAGGTTTCAATTAAGACATTCTAGTACAAACTATATTAATTGTGAAACTAATTATTCTAATAAAAATATAAATCAATTAGAATATGTGATCAATTTGATCAAGACAGATTCTTTAAATAGAAGAATTGTAATTAGTTTTTGGAATTCTAAAGATTTAGAAAAAATGACACTTTCATCCTGTCATGTCTTTGTTCAATTCTATATCAACAATCTGAAAAGTATAAAGAAAATCTTATCATATTATGTATTTCAGAGATCTGAAGATATAGGATTAGGTGTATCATTCAATATTGCAAGTTATGCATTGTTAACTCATATGATTGCTAATATCATTAGTTTTGAAACTGAAAAACTTATCTTGATTCTTGGTGATGTACATATTTATTAAGATGATAAAGAAAAACTATAAGAACAAACAAAAAAAGAACTATTTGAATTTTCAACAATTTCATTTAATTGTAAATATAATAATTTAGAACAGTTTAAATATAAAGATATCATTTTAGAAAATTATATTTCTTATAAAAAAATTAAACTTAATATTTCATAGTTTATTTGCTTAGATTCTTTCTTAAATTAAATTCTTAATATAGTTTTAATTCTGTTTAAATGATTAATAAAATTAATATATACTTTAAAATTGATATTGCATAATAAATATTTATTACAAAGAAATTTATATTTTGGTGCACCGTGCACCATAGTGCACCCCTTTGTCCAGTATTACACCTGATTATGTAGATCATGTATTGCAAAAATCTTATACTATATGTTATTGATTATGCATTCAATTATTCATATTATTTATTTATTAAACATGTTTAACTTATTTCATTGTACGTTAAATAAATATACATCAAACATACCTTAATTTTGTTATGAACAGATCATTATTAACAGTAACTTCTTTCAACTATTTAAGACAAGAACATCTATACTCTGTCAAGAATATTATGAGTTTGATACTATTTGGTTACACGTTTAATTATTTACATTGTGAGCCCTGAAATCAGTATCACATTGTCACAGTCACACATAACACATGATCAATCATCGCATTTTTGGGACCTGTTGTCTATCCAAGTGATTAGTTACATGAAAAGTAAGATTTATTTTACTTTTCTTATTTTTATTACTTTGGTTACTTCAGGTAAATCGATAGCATATAGAATGTTTGGGTTTTCATGATTATAGAAGGAAAATGGGTCTTATGAGAGATATAATGTAAATAGATAATGCAGAAGAAATAAACTTCAAATGTAAATAAAACTTTTATTATAAATAAAGAGCTTCTCATCCAGAGGGAAAGTAACAGTGATACCCTCAAGTTAATACATTTGCTTAAATAAACTTAAAGTATTCAACCCTGTATTAAAGTAAAACTATAACCCAACATAAGCTAATAAACTATTATTAAGCCCATCATTATACACTATCATCTGCCTGTTTGTAAAACACTAAACCATATTTTGTTCATTTGCCATAAGTCACATGACCAAGCCAATACACAAGAGAAGGACTCTGACTCTGATTCGACATACCATAACTTCAAAATAAGGAAAAAAAGAGAGGATAAAAGAAGGCCAAGATTAAAGGAAGCATAGGTTGAAGGAAAAACTTAGAAGAGAAGAGTAGTACTTACCTACAGATAAACCACCTAGCCAAATTTAACATGTCTATTTCAACTTAGCCGCCATAGGTTATACAAAAATTAGAAGGAATTAGCTACAGACTCACCGATTTGCTGCATGACAATACATGTTTAAATTACTTCATTGTATATTAAATGCTGTCACTTTTGTTACCTACAGATTATAAATAACAGTAACTTTCTTCAACTATTTAAGACAAGAACACCTATACTATGTATCAAGAATATTACAGGTTTGAGACTAACCTCAAATATTTATAACTCAGAATTAATTAGCATTCTGTTGGGGTTATGATTTTTTGAGGTTCGCTTGACTGGATTTTAAATAGTTTGTTACTATAACATTTTTTTCATATTACTAACCTTGTGCTTATAAATCAGTTTTTTATAGACAGACATTTAAACAACAAATATGATCCTTTGAGGTTCGCTTGTCTGAATTTCAAATAGTTTGTCACTATGCTGTTTTTTTCATATTACTAACCTTGTGCTTATAAATCAGTTTTTTTATAGACAGCTATCTAAACAACAATTGTAATTATAGATCTGGATCATAGCGAAGACAATGTTAATATAACAGAGTATTTCAAAGAATCTTATAATAAGGACATTAGTGATATAGCTAACAATATAGAGTTATTATTTTTAAAAGAAGGTGACTTGTTTGATGACTTTGATAAAGCTAAAGTTTACATATATTAATTTTCTAATTCCAAAGGGTTTAAAATATGACTTAGGCATGTGACAATAATAGATATGGCAAAAAGTGGCAAGGAAGTTCATAAACAAACAATTCTCTATAAACATTTAGATCTATTTAAACCAAAAAATGCTAAGAAGCCAAGTAATTCAGCTCAAATACAATGCCAGTGGCATGTTAATCTTTCACGTTCTTCAAAGAGTAATGATGATTTCTATGTATTTGTTACTACTCTAAATAATAATCATAACCATGATTTATCACCTAAAGTGATTCAGTTTGAAAAAAATAAACAGTTTACAGAAGAAATGTGAGAAGAAATTAACTTTCTTGTTACTAAATGTCATCTTGGTGCAACTATGATATGTTGTATCTTAAAAGAAAAGTTTACTTCTTACCCTATATTTGTTAAGGATCTTTATGTTGAGATACAGCGGTGCCAGCCATCATGTAGTGCAATTAAACATGATGCATCATAGTTTTATGAGCAACTATTATCCAAACAACGTGAAGATTCTTGTTGGTTTGTTGAGGTTATGTGAGAAGAGGAAACTAATACTTTGATTAATTTGTTCTGAATAAGTCTTGAACAAATCATATTATGGTATGAATTTAATGAGTCAGTTGGGCATAATAATACTGCAGGTACTAACAGGTACAATATGCCACTTTCTTTATTTGTAATACAAAATAATAACATGCAGTCTTGTATTGTTGCTCAGGCTTTTGTTTGCAATGAAACAACTGAAATGTATCAATAGGTCCTTAAAATGACCAAGAAAGCAACAAATAATAGATATTCTCATGTGTTTGTGATTGATGGCAATCCAGCCATGGAATGCACAGTAATTTTAAAGTATCAAGAGATGCAACATCTCTTTGCATTTGGCATATCAAGGAAAACATCAAAAAAATATTACGAAAGAAGCTAGAAAATCAATTTGATAATTTTTATTGCAAGTTTTGGCAATGCCAAAATGCAGATACTCTACAAGTCTTCGAATACTATTGGAACCAGCTTATAGGCTTTTCTGATACAAAATTGTACCTTGAGTATCAACTCTATAATAGATGCTTTTCATAGACATATGCATTACTGTCATAACATTCACACTCGGCATTCAAACTACATCATTTGTTGAAAGTCAAAATGCATGCATCAAGCAGGTATTAGAGAATAGCAATACATCACTATGTGAATTAGGTAAAGTATTAATGGAATGTAGCAAAGAAGAACAAAAAAGAAAGCAATTTAAAGAATGAAAAAGAGATGTTTCTTCTATGACAAATGCAACTACTATTTTTCCTTCTATTGAATCTTTAGCTAAATGTTATCTGAGACCAAATGTTGCAAACTTTTTAGTTAAACAAATGAAGGAAAGCTTATATTACACTGCTAGTTGTGCTATAGTTAAAGAAATTGAATCACTTACCTCTTACGAACCTTCACAAAGTGAAGATATAGATGACAAGCCTAATGTTATTGTTTTGTGTGCTATATATCTTTTAGAACATTTAGAACGAATCTTAATTGTAGAGATTTGAAAAATCTCAAGGGTTACAAGTCAAGAAGTAACTATTTTATATTTTTCTTTCAGATGGCTCATATAGCTATACCTGTTTTTTGCAACAAAGTAAAGGGCTGTATGTTATCATTTTTACCATCTTCTAAAAATTACTGCTAAGGCACAATTTAGTTTGCAATTAATTGTATCATGTTGGATTTCTAAATCCCAATGATTAGATGCAGAGAAGAAATATATACACTTTGAACAGTGTTTCAGTAATATTAAGGATAAAACTACTAATACAAATATAACTATAAGCAATAAAAATTAGCATATATGGTTACAACCATTTGATAATAGTGAAACAGAAGAAATTACCAATGATGATTTTATCGATAAAATGCTTTTTTATAAGAAAGCTTGGGGTCTTGCACATACTGCTATAAACAAATGCATGTTACATCATGATAATAAGTTTATTCTGTTAATTAAGAATTATTTAATAAGATTCACACTAGAAAGGAAAAATTAGTTAGATCACAAGAAGAAGTGGTGGCTTTAACTAGTCAAAATGTTGCTAAAAGTACAAAAGATAGTATGATCCAACTTGAGAATCCTCGGAAAGTAGTTGGTAGAGGAAGTCCAAAAGCTGCAAGTCATCATAATAAGGATATTACGAATGTAACATCACAAGAAACAAGTAAAAAAAAACATAGGCAGTATACTTGTGGATTTTGCAAAGAGCCAGGCCATAATATCACAACTTGTCTGAATAAACTATAAAGTAAGTATGCAAAGTTGTGAGCAAAGTAAGTTTGTTTTTAATAACCCATAAAGTAAGTATGCAGGGTTGTAAGCAATGTAAGTTTGTATTGATAGAAATTGTAAATGCTTGCACATATGCTTATAGTGATGTAATGTTAATTACATTATTATTTGCTTTAATTCGCTTATATGCTTCTTTATTAAATAAAAAGTAAAGATTATTACATAGTGATAGACATGTGGCTTTCTTTATTACATATATTTTAGCATCTTTATAGTTTTTGGTAATTATATTACTATGTATCAGTATTGTTAGTCTTATTGCATATAATATAACATTATCATTTCATATCTGTTGCTAATGTATAATAAACAATGAACTACTTGGAGTTGACCTAAATTTATTAAAAATCAGCTTAGTTAATAATATTGTCTATATATAAGTGATGCCAAAGTGAAAATGTAAAAACTTCATAGTGATGAAGCATTTAATGAAAGCTTAACTGAATGTGCATATTTTTTTTAAGGTTAAGGTTAGTGTGAATGCTAAAAAGTCCTTTTTTTAAAGTTAGGATTAGGATTAAAGTAGTATAATATTGTAATAGAATTTATTTTTTTTCTATATTAGTATATATTTATTTTTAGCTCTATATTATATTTTATAATTTTTCTAATATTTTTACATAGT